ATAAGCGACCATGTGAAAAACCTAATAAGGGCAGTCGGTTGCGAGATTTTAACAGAAAGCTTTGGACATGTTGTTACCAATTGCCAATGGTATTTTAAAATAATATTGATTACACAGTCTTCTGTTACTTCCCTTGCGAAGTTCAGTTCGTGTTAATACAAGACAACGAAACATACGCTTTGCCCCGGTAGGAAAAATTGCGCATGGGTGACGACACACACACACACAAACATAAACGGCTACTAACAAACTGCAAACATCCATAACATCTCCAAAATTAAGAACATAAATAGCACTACCATTTTATCACTCATGCACGCAGTCAGTCGTTTTTAGGAGAAAATTAACGAACAAGACCCTTTTTTTCAAGTTTTCTCTTTTTTTCTTTCAACAGATACATTTCACCTTATTGAAGACGCAACTAAGTAATCTCGCGATGAACAGAAATATTCTATTTGTTTTTGGAATTTTAACGCTGCTTACCATCGCTGTATTTTTAACGGACAGTAGCAAATCCCGATTCAGATTTCATGAAAGGCGGTTCTTGAGGAGGCTTAGACCAACAGCAAAACCGACCAGAAGATATCGTACTCCGGTGCGTCAGGATCAAAATAACCAACAAAGCGATAGTCGACATGGTTTTAAAAATCGAGAGGACGTCCATGAATATTATGATGATATCTACGAAAATGGTTAGTTAATTTAGAAGCCTTAGAAACTTAGCCCGTGAAAACAGCTGACATTCCGCGATGCCACTACTTATTTCCCCGCGAAATGACGTCTGAGAAATGAGCGCAGAAATTCCATACTGATGACGTGAACTACCCCGGTCTGGAGAGTGCTTCTGATTTGTCGTGGCGAGAGGGACATTTGCTTTAACCAATCAGAAGAACTACCCAGATATGGGTAGTGACACTTCACCAGTGTGGAATTTCTGCATTCGTTCGGCTCAGAGGTCAATTCGAGGGGAAACTAGTGGTGTCGTCACGATATGTCGGCTGTTTTCTAATGCTATGAAAATTGTACTTTCCTATCGATCCTTGCTAAGTGATGAGAACCAGTCGACGAATGCAGCACGACGTGTATGTGAAGATGATGTTACGACAAAAATCAGGCGTTGAACATAACATATGTGAGGTAAAATGTTCCTTCGGAACGAATTGTAGGTGTCATTTGAGCTGTCAGTGGTGACGCTGACATGAAAACGAGTCGACTTGGTCTTCTTCCCTGAATACACCGATTTTAGAAAGACTGAAGTGTATATAGTCTATCTAACCGAGGCTGAATGGAACAAAAATTACGATAAAAAGAAATGATCCACAAATGATAGGCAGCTGCAAACTGTAAAAGCGGCTCAGTGAAAATAATAGATCGAACGGGTTGGTTCAATTTCGGTTCAGTAAGTACGCACTGTTGCGCAGTATTTCTGGGCCCTTTTCTTTCAATAAACACTGTTCCGCGGAATTTTAAATTAGCCCGTTTCACTTTTTTCGCTCAGCCGTTCTTAATGAGTTGCCGTCACGCAGCGTTGCGTGACGGCACAAAGAACGGCTGTGGAGTGGACTGTATTAGAGTGATGTTACGCTTCTCTTACATGGAAAGGCAAGATTTTCCTGGAATCCGTGTTCCAGCATTTTCCTCGCTAGCAAAGCTCTTTTTCTATGTATATAAGAAAGAATAGATGATCATGCAGCTGGCTCGATTATGGGTGTTGTGATATCTCTTGAAACTCAATTGCTCTTGGAACAAAATGAAACAAACAAACTTAAGAAATAAATTATACCATTGTATATACGGCTTTATTCGTGTCCTTTCGGCCGCGCAATTTGAGCGATGTTTTTGTATAGATATATCAAACTTTGAATGCCGAATTTCACAATTTACTCACCCATAATTTATCGGATCTATCTATGCCGTAAATTTTGTTATTTTCTTTTAAATATGTTATTTTTTGTGCTTGTATGCGTAGGTGATTTGTTTTATCCAGAAGACACAAGATCTGAAGAAAGAACGCTGTTAAGATGACTGCGATATAAATATAGTTTTGTAAATGTTTAAACTAATTTATTGTATTAATAAAACAGTTATAAAATCAAAGCGATGTATGGGCTGAAAGTTCATTGAATTCGATTCGGCTCATGTTAAATACGGCTTCTGAATTAATCGTTTTAAGTATGAACGCCTGGGAATCCGAATTCCCTAAATTGTACAAATCCAAAACCATTTGTGATAATCAGGAAAGAAATCATCTCTGGTGTAAACGAAGACTTATAGAAAATTGTTCCGAAATCAGCGTGCAAGAAATCCCTCCGAGTTATTGTCAGTAAAAATCACATGTGAGACAAACGATACCTCAAGTAATTATTATTTGTTTACTTCATCACGATGAATAACTATTTCCTTAGAACATCGAACTTTTCTAGTTTTGCATTCCTTTTTCGACTAAAATAACTTTTTCTTGATTTCTGGTAAAAAAAAAAAAGAGCTAGTCAAGAGTTCTATTATTTGTTTTGAACTCTATGAGACTGGATTGGTAATCTTTGACTGTTTCATTTTGTGAAAATGTTGTTTTATAAACAAACCAAGGTGAACTTAAATTAGTGTAAATTTCCTAAGTTGTATAGAAACGTGTGCCAATGGTAATAAAATAAAAAGACTCAATGCATGCTGTGCATGTTTAGCCGGCTAACATACAGCGTATCACCTGCCTGGAATTAATAGAACAAAATTAGCACAATAAGTCATGAAACCCCTGTGAAATGTTAGTACTTCTAAAAAATAATATTATATACACTTAAAACTTCAAAAAAAGTCCATTTGCGATTCAGCTTCTGGTACTTTCTATACTTTCTTCACTCTCCTATAAAACCGGCCTACCGTGTTGAATTGTGCGTTTTTAAACTTCGATTCTGTGGTGTAACAACTCTTTTACGTTTAGTGAACTGCGCTAGGACCGCGTGGTTTTGGAATATAGTAAATTACTACGTATCAAACGTACCTTTATCCAATAATATACTTCTGGAAATTATACCTCAAGTGGGAATGAACTGGACAGGAAAGTATACGATGTATGGCTCTAAAAACCTCTTCGTTCACATGAAAAATGTTATGCTGTCAGCAAACAAGATGAAACTTCCAGTTGGGTTAGATTGAGAATAACGCTGCTGACGTGAATAATAAAATTTTTATAGGTCTTTCTTGGATAAGCATTTTTGTGATAGTGGTAACCGCTGGAGTCCCAGCTGGAAGCAACGCAGGTAAAGTCTAACTCAAACAAGAACAACAGAAGCGTTCTTTGATAATTTATAGAGTACGTGATGCCTCCTTTCAGTTTGTCAGCGTTTGAGTCAGTGATTTCCCTCATATGTATTAAGAACGTTTTCTCCTTTTTTTGCAGACCAAAGTGTCTGCCGAAACCAAAAACACAAAAAAAACAAATGGTAAACTTCTAACAAACTTTCAACCTCACGCCGAGGAATCCTAGTTTAGTGCTTTGGATATTTAGAAGCCATCAGACGCGCCAAGAACTTCACGAGGGTTTGCAACGCGTTTGTTCCATGGTATTGCACAGGAGTCGGAAACTTTTCGTTTTCTTTTACAGCTCGGAAAAGGCCATGGTATTATCCCAACTAAAAGTTTGTTGTTGTATCAAAGATAACACAAAATCTTAGTCATCTTTTACAGCGTTTTCCAGTGTATGGGTGATACTTACTACAAAACTCTGACTTCCACTTGTAGTTAATATTGTCTCCTTATTTTGTTGGATACTGTTTCACGGGTATTTTTTTTGCAATTCAAGGTATCTGCTATTAAACCAAGCAAATTAAATTTAAAGGAAGAGAAATTATAACGCTGTGACAACAGTTGTTATTGTTATTTTAAATGGTCCGTGGCTTACTTTTAGTTTATAATGTTGAAAACAACTGATTAAGTGATATATATCTCAACGGTTTGTTGACGCAAACGAACGATAATTTGTTACACATTTATGAACTGTGAAGCCTCAGCTCGTCACCATTTCAATTATGGATTTGAGTACATTTAATATTTATTTTTAGCACCCTTTTTAATATTCAGACTGAGATAAGTTCATTTTGCCTGTAAGTTATCATCACGCACCGTGAAAAAAAGAAAGCGGCTGTGGTCACACCATATCACGGATGGATTATGTGTCGACGCGATAAGCTATCTGCTACATAGTATGAACACCTATCCGATATGTGACTCTCCACTATAGAGACCTGCGCAGCTTTGCTCCGTTACAGACTCCCACCGAAATCACCGTTCTTTATCAGACTTGCACCCAGTCGCTATTTATGTGTTTTTGGGGTGAGAGAAGATTGGGGGTTAGGTTGAGGCGCGCGCGGGGTCTCATGTCAAGGGACGAAGGAAAAATAGCGAATCCGATATTTAAAACATATTTAACTTTTCTCTTGTTCTCCCAACATCCCGCGCGGGTTATTAACCTTAAGTAAAACGAAGTCGTTTCTATGAGTTTACCGGCACAATCAAAAGCGCAGGTTTTTAACCAATCAAAACGCGCGTACTATATATCTTGGTTATTCTATAAAGTGTGAGCATAGCCTAAGAAAGCTTGAATTAATAAAATGTTCAATGACTCGGCATTCAATTTAATTCATGATATATATACCACCAATTCCTCGTGTCTGGTTTTCGATTTCTCTATAAAGTATTGATACTGAGAGCCACACGAGTTAAGTGATAAGAAATAATCAACTAGACGATAACTGACGATATTAGCTCCAAGTTTTAGCGAATGAAATCTAACTTAGTTTTATATCGGCGATGAGAACCACAAAAATCGTCAAACAACCACAGTCTTTCACACTAATCAACGGATCTGGTCGGCAACAAACACTTTCAAAAATCAGTTCAAAGTTTAATATCTAAACAAAGTATATTTTCTAACAGTCTATTATAACGCGGTTATTCAAAAAAAAAAACAAGAAACAAACAAACATACAAGCAAACAAAAACAACAGTAAAAACAACAACGGACCCCTGAAGAAACAGCTTCTAAAAAAAATTAGCAATGCTATTGTTCAAACGATGCCAATCACCTGCCTTCGCGGGTTAATAACCCCACCCAGAAAATCGACACTATCACCTGATAAGGATCTGCGATAAGCCATCGATAAGAGATACAATCGTATACCATAAATGCAAACAATTAAAATAAACGAACCGTAAACTTAGCCATGAAAACTATTTCCAAGAATTCTCAGGATTTATCGTGACTTCCTATGAAATCTTTGGACAACATGAAATTCGCGAAAATATCGGGGATAATAATCTCGGGGATAATAATCTCCGGGAATCTGCAAGAGCTTCCCTAAGTGAATTGCACACGACAGAAAATCCGGCTCGTGGACATGTATGTTTAGCTGACGCTAGAATTCAGTTTCTAGAAAGCTTATTCTCCGTCATTCTGCTTAACTATGGCTTTTGCACTTGACATATTATATTCATACTGTCTTGGTAATGTAAGCCTCGGTTAACTTTTCTTTTAAAAATTTGCCTTGACTTTATTGTGTCGAACTAAAAAAAAAATATAAGTTTGCCTTTTTTAAGGTCGGAAGAATTTCTACAAAATAGGCTGCTTTATATTAAGCTTTTTCAAGATTGATCGTCAAATCTAGGGAGTGTCTGGGAATATAAAGTTGTTTAAATCACGAATTATAAATGCCTATGGATTGTCAGAGTCTGGGAATTTCCCAGTTCCGAGGTACGGATCTTGAACTTCAATTCTGGTGCGCCGGGCAGTTAGAAATTCCACGGTGTTCTTCATATCCGCTATTAGATGTGAGTATGAGATTGATTGTTCCTTTTTTTACGATAAATTTGATTATACCATATAAAAACTAAATTAGTTGAGTATATGCCCTTTCAAAGAGAATTGATATAACAATTTTTGTCTCAAAAGACAATTGCATTTGCTTTTATTCCATCAGAATAATATGACCTTTGTGTGTTATGCATGGTTCAATTTGACCTGTTACCATGCCCCCACCCCCCCCCCCGACATACCCCTAGCCTGCGTAGTATGTAGCGGTAGCGGCAACGTGATTTGCCCCACCTCCTACCCCCAGGACAGTACCGTTTCAAAGACTTTCGAGCGAAACGTTAGAGACACGGAAATGACCTCGCATCGAGCGAGTGCGCTTCCCTCACTAAATCTGCATGAAGAAAAAGTGAGAGACAGTTTGCAGTCTAATGAGTAAGACTTGTTACACTGCTTTATAATAAACATGGAAAAGATGTCGATAAAAACCAAATAAGAAGGTTGTATAGACCCCTTTTAGCAGTAGAAACGCGTAACCCTGTTTTCGAAATGATAAAGAAAACAAAAACGAAAGCCCGAATGACGAAATAACGAACAACAACTTAAAAATAATCTTTAGCGTGCCAGCATTAATTGATGGCGCGAACCCTTCGCGTGGGACTGGTCGCGAATCTTTATGGAAAACCGCTTGCCAGGTGCAGTTTTACGGTTTCGCGCCAAAAGAAACACACGGTCATAAAGCATAACAAATCCTTCTGGAATGAACCGATTCGGAGTTTAGACGCATCGGATTCAAAATTAATCGCCGTATTTTTTTTAAGAAAGCATAATCCGTATTTCAATTAAAAAAGAAAAACTGCAACAGTTGTTTCGACCAACGGCATAATTCGCACCCATATATTTTGTTCAGATTATTATTAATTCAAACTTCAACTAAAATAAACTTTCAAAACAAAATTCCTAAAGGCCAGGAAATCTCCTTGCCGAGATTGTTGTAAAACTTTCTCTTCGATCGACCTCTTCTAAACATTCATTTTACCGCGGAAACTTTTCACGGCCACCGTCATGACGCGCGCTGCAAACTTAGAAAACTGATCAGCTTACACTGAAATTCCTGCAGTTATCGTAAATAACTTGCATCATATCCTAATAATCCTCAGATTGTATTTATTTGTATGGCACGAACAAGGATGGCGCTTTTACGTAAAACAGCCATTCGAATATCAGAAGTTTCCGCCAGTCCAAGTCGGCACTAAAATGTTTTTCGAACTTTGTATGGTTTTCGGTATTTGTATCATATATTTTTTGTTTCTTCCAACAACTAACACAACAAACCGTCCGTTGACAAAATATAGAAGAATAAACTTATTGAGGAAGAGCTTACCGTGTTTGATTGGGGAAGTTCTTACCTTGAAGATGTTTTTCAGTTTTTTAGGGTGATGCAGATGGAATTTTTTCTGGGCATACACTACTTCAGAGAAACTGTATTACACGCACTAATAATAATTCCTTTTTCTTTCAGGAGGTCAGTCCCACGTAACTGGTGAAAAGCACAAGACTGATTGAATGATGGCTATTGCCATTATAACTTTCGTATTTTTAAGAAAAAGCTTTTACACCATGATTTTTATATCACCTGGGTTTTGTGGTTATTACTGGTGCAAAGGTTAAGTAAAAGTGATATTTCTTTTTAGAGTGATTCATTAACTTTTATCGTTTCTTGAAGCACTTATGAGATAAAGAAAATTATTTTAATGTAATTTTTGTTGAGTAGGCGAACCTTCCCTAAGCTTGAATGCCGCTGTTTTTTTATTATCATTATTATTTTTCATTTTCCATTTCATTCGTTTTGTTTTTGTTCAGTTTACTTTAGCGACTTTTAGATCCGACATCGAAAACACGATACTCGGCAAAACAAGTACTGGTCACGACTTTGGGATATTGTCGCAGCTTACTGTACCATCCGAAACTATAACTTCTTCCTGTTGCTGCCGGAATAGCGCATAAATAAACGTTACGGTTAGATTAGTGCGATAAGCGATTTAAATTAATAAATTAAAAAAAGTAACTTGTATTCCAGCGACTCAATGCAAGTTGTGCCTACTTGTCTAACCTAAAAGTCCCTAATACTTTTAATTATATGTACGGCAAAATATTCCTTCGAAGACTCAAAGCGATGAGCTTTTTTTTTTACTTTAATGCAGAACCAGTAAATATACATCACTTCTTAAGTTTTGAAATTGTTTAATTAACATTGAATTATTTAAATTTCATGACGTTATAATGGTTTAGGCAAGCCCAACCTCACCTTTCAAGTTCTGTAGGGCGACTTCAGCAACTAAATGTGGACGGCATATGAGAAAATGCGACTGTAAAACGAAGTTAAACGATTAAAAAGCTACACATTTACACTATTACTTAGTGAATTATTTCGGTATAGCTTGTCGGATCGGGTGTCGAGAGGTTTAATTGATTTTTGGATTCAGATACTTCAAAGCTCTTCAGAAAGGGAATTTAACTTTTATTAGCTATTATTAATGATACACCGGAAGACTCTCACTTACTATTTTTTTTAGTGATTTTATAGATGAAAAATAATAAAAAAGCCGTTATGTTTAAGTAAGAGTGGTAAGAAGTCCATCTTCTTTGCATATAAGTTATCTTTACTGAACCAATATCTCTTAACGAATGCCTTTCGTACCGATATCAGTTCTAAATGTGCACTTAATATAAATTGAATTAGCTCATCTGATTATTTTGTAAAAGTGGGTAACTCATTGAGAAGAGGTTTTCGTGTGTAAGTTATAAATGAATCAATTTTTTTTTCCATTAAGCTAAAAATCAAACAGACTGTCTTTATTTTTAACTTGCTGACAATGAGCGTAAAAATGTTTTCAAACTTTTGTTAATCGGGTAGTACCAGTATGTACAGACTGACAAATTCGTTCATGGTCAATATCAAATTGAACTTAGAAATCGGACATTTGGAGAATGTGTTAAGGGTACACATTAAAGGTAATTGTTAAAGGTACTAAATTATTTTCGTTTAGCTAGTGGTCTATATATTTCTTATATGGAAATATATTCGAAGGAAAAATTTTTCGAGCTTTTGTATGGTATTACTGACTATTATAAGTACGCACGTGCAAGCCTGACAAATTCGTTCATCGTGTCGATACAATATGAAATGAACTAAAAATCGTGGTCTTATTTTAGTTTTCGACGTCTACTGCAGTGTTAACATTAGACATAGTATGCGACAAAATTAACATAAATCCCGATGACATATTAATGGTAAAGCACAAAAAGATATAAGCTACCTTTAATTAGCCTGGAGTTGAAACACTTCTTTCGACGTTTAACCTTCTTGTCCTCGCACCGCACCGAGACTACAGCAAACTATAATAAGGCCAGTGACGATTTCCCTTAACCTTCATCTATAATCTGATATTTCTACAACGCATTGTCGATAAGATTTAAGGGAAAAAAATATTAAAATTAGAAAAAACCCTACCATTGCCGACCAAAGGTTGCTAAAAGAACGTGATAGTAAAAAGGGCACACTGGAACAGACAACAATTACTAAGTTCCGTCTCAAACTATTTTTTAAGTCTTGGTTAATGAAAGTGTGAATCTGAAGCTCTGATACGATAAAAACTTTAATGGAATGGGCGTACTCAACGTTCAAAATATTTAAATGAGAAATCAAGTTTTTCTTTATTAAAGATTGAATTTTTTTCTCTGCCGCTAGATGACTTGACAGTGTAAAGAACAGAGATCTAAATGAATAAACGGAACTTTGGTTGTAAAGCAAAAAGCTGAAGAAGGGAAAGTAAACGTATTAGTACTTTAAACCATTTAAACCATAACTTATAAAAAGGGCGAGGATATCTTTTTATCCGAATGTCTTTGAATTTTGCTTCTCTACGCCGCTCATCGATTGGTCCTTATTCACTTCTACAGAAGTAAATGCAAGAGGAAAATATTTAAGTAAAAAAGAAGAAGAAAAAAAAAACCTTTTGATTATATTAAAAAGTGAAAATATAAATATATCATTCTTACCAGTCACTGAGACACAATTTGTTAGTTCCGTTCCATGCACTGAAATCTACACGTTTAGTCATGAGGTTAAATTATTATTCCCTTTTATTTCTGATCATCCTTAATGTAAATACCTAAGAGGCTGAGAGAGATAATTTCGTGCAGCTAACTATTAACAAGAAATTTGAAACGTGCTCTTTATATATTTTTAAGTAAATAATGTTCGTTGAATATTAGAAAATTTCAGAGAAAGTATAGACAGAGTAACGAAACTAAGCCCTAATGGCATGAGAACTATTAATAAAATCTGATTCGCTAAGTCCACCTGACATATGAACCTTACGCTTCTTTATTTAGCCACGTGATTCGAATGTTAAGAAACAGCCACTTTCCTTATTGTTTTTTGTTACGTAAGACTTAAGCTTCCTTTTGCGGTTTCTTCTGATCGGGGTTGCTTAATGACCGTGCCTGAGGCAAGACGCATTAAATTAAGTTTTGTTACGGGAGGGCAGACGAATTACAGTGGGTAGAATTATGTCTACTCTTTACATATATTGGTAAATTCAATGAAAATTGCCCTTCGAGACGAATTTCATGTAATAATATTCCCCCGGGAAGGTGGCTCCCGCTCTCGCGTGCTTGTAAGTCTATCGAAGTTTATACCCCTGCTGAGACGGACAAATTGACCTTATTCCAAATCTCATTCCGGGTTATCAAAATGACATGGAATATTATTCTAAAGCTGCACTTTTGCAAAAGCACACGTCATATGAATCCATTTTCGGCGGGGTGCAAATCAAACAATATAAGCAACAATAAAAGTTTTCCTTTGATGTTTGTCAGCTCTCTTTTCTAAATATCACGGAAACTGAAATTCAGACAAGTCAGTAAATTTAGCCAGCTTGTATTAAAATGTACTATACTAAGGTCAGAGTATTTGGATAGCTAGTGAGCTGAAATTAAAATGACAAATGAATTAAGAAATGAAACTCAACAAAGCTGCTACTTCCACAATATTAGAAAGTATCATGATCCATTAACAAAAATGTCTACGGTTCGTATCTCTGATTTAGACTCAGACATTCTTTTTTTTGCAGAATGATAGCTGCGCATGTTGAATTTACGATTGTAGAAGTGTAATCCTTTCATAGTACTCAACTCTGTCTTAGTGCAGTGAACCAAGGTTCTTATGGTTTGATATTTGAGACTGTCATGAAATTCAAAGAAGTACCATTTAAACGAATTTATAGATATACGCTAGCTTTGAGTCTTTTTATAAAGTACTTGAGTGTGTCCATTCAAATGAAAGCAACAAAAAACTACTTTCATGTGTACTAACCTTTTATTAGCTGTAGAAGTTGGTTCTTAGTATTTTTAACGTGAATAAACTCCTAGACAGTGCAACTTATGAATTGCCTCGCAGTCCAGGAGAACAACCATCGAGTTATGGATGCACGCGGGAGGTTGCCGAAAGCACAAAATTTACGAATCGTAAGAGTTGCTCGAGGCGTAGCCGAGAGCAACTCTAGCTTCGTGAGTGCTTAGCAAACCTCCCAAGTGCATCCATAACTGGATGGTTGTACAGCTGCAACGTTTACCATTTCTTTTATAGCATAATCGAAAGAAAAAACATTATTTTACTATAAACGAGTTTGTATATGCTGTCCCTGCGTAAACAAATCATGCCAAAAACTTGACTTCAATGAAGTTTTCTTTCGCTTAATCAGCCGTTCTCCATCTCAGGGTATTAAAATTGCAAAAGGTTTTTTGTCTTACACTAAATGGTGCCTCTGTCTACTTAAATACTTCTATAAGGGAAACCTATAGCACAAAAACTATAAACACCAAATCAAAGACTGTTTGACTTAAAATGAAATCAATGTGTGAATGCAGTAAACTTAAAGTGAAGGCAAAATATTCCTTCGAAGACTCAAAGCGATGAGCTTTTTTTTTTACTTTAATGCAGAACCAGTAAATATACATCACTTCTTAAGTTTTGAAATTGTTTAATTAACATTGAATTATTTAAATTTCATGACGTTATAATGGTTTAGGCAAGCCCAACCTCACCTTTCAAGTTCTGTAGGGCGACTTCAGCAACTAAATGTGGACGGCATATGAGAAAATGCGACTGTAAAACGAAGTTAAACGATTAAAAAGCTACACATTTACACTATTACTTAGTGAATTATTTCGGTATAGCTTGTCGGATCGGGTGTCGAGAGGTTTAATTGATTTTTGGATTCAGATACTTCAAAGCTCTTCAGAAAGGGAATTTAACTTTTATTAGCTATTATTAATGATACACCGGAAGACTCTCACTTACTATTTTTTTTAGTGATTTTATAGATGAAAAATAATAAAAAAGCCGTTATGTTTAAGTAAGAGTGGTAAGAAGTCCATCTTCTTTGCATATAAGTTATCTTTACTGAACCAATATCTCTTAACGAATGCCTTTCGTACCGATATCAGTTCTAAATGTGCACTTAATATAAATTGAATTAGCTCATCTGATTATTTTGTAAAAGTGGGTAACTCATTGAGAAGAGGTTTTCGTGTGTAAGTTATAAATGAATCAATTTTTTTTTCCATTAAGCTAAAAATCAAACAGACTGTCTTTATTTTTAACTTGCTGACAATGAGCGTAAAAATGTTTTCAAACTTTTGTTAATCGGGTAGTACCAGTATGTACAGACTGACAAATTCGTTCATGGTCAATATCAAATTGAACTTAGAAATCGGACATTTGGAGAATGTGTTAAGGGTACACATTAAAGGTAATTGTTAAAGGTACTAAATTATTTTCGTTTAGCTGGTGGTCTATATATTTCTTATATGGAAATATATTCGAAGGAAAAATTTTCGAGCTTTTGTATGGTATTAATTACTATTATAAGTACGCTCGTGCAAGCCTGACAAATTCGTTCATCGTGTCGATACAATATGAAATGAACTAAAAATCGTGGTCTTATTGTAGTTTTCGACGTCTACTGCAATGTTCACATTAGACATAGTATGCGAGAAAATCAACATAAATCCCGATGACATATTAATGGTAAAGCACAAAAAGATATAAGTCACCTTTAATTAGCCTGGAGTTGAAACACTTCTTTCGACGTTTAACCTTCTTGTCCTCGCACCGCACCGAGACTACAGCAAACTATAATAAGGCCAGTGACGATTTCCCTTAACCTTCATCTATAATCTGATATTTCTACAACGCATTGTCGATAAGATTTAAGGGAAAAAAATATTAAAATTAGAAAAAACCCTACCATTGCCGACCAAAGGTTGCTAAAAGAACGTGATAGTAAAAAGGGCACATTGGAACAGAGAACAATTACTAAGTTCCGTCTCAAACTATTTTTTAAGTCTTGGTTTTTGAAAGTGAAGCTCTGATACGATAAAAACTTTAATGGAATGGGCGTACTCAACGTTCAACATATTTAAATGAGAAATCAAGTTTTTCTTTATTAAAGATTGAATTTTTTTCTCTGCCGCTAGATGACTTGACAGTGTAAAGAATAGAGATCTAAATGAATAAACAGAGCCTTAGTTATAAAGTAATAAGCTGAAGTCGGGAAAGCAAGCATATTTAAGTACTTTAAACCATTTAAACCATAACTTATAAAAAGGGCGAGGATATCTTTTTATCCGAATGTCTTTGAATTTTGCTTCTCCACGCCGCTCATTGATTGGTCCTTATTCACTTCTACTGAAGCAAATGCAAGAGGAAAATAAGTAAAAAAGACGAAAAAAAAAAACCTTTTGATTATATTCAAAAGTGAGCAATATTGCGACCTAAAATATAAATATATCATTCTTACCAGTTACTATACTGAGACAATTTTTCAGTTCCTTTCCACTGAAATCTGCACGTTTCGTCATGAGGTTAAATTATTATTCCCTTTTATTTCTGATCATCCTTAATGTAAATACCTAAGAGGCTGAGAGAGATAATTTCGCGCGGCTAACTATTAACAAGAAATTTGAAACGTGCTCTTTATATATTTTTAAGTAAATAATGTTCGTTGAATATTAGAAAATTTCAGAGAAAGTATAGACAGAGTAAGGAAACTAAGCCCTGTGGCGTGAGAACTACTAAAATCTGATTCGCTAAGACCACCTGATATATGAACCTTACGCTTCTTTATTTAGCCACGTGGTTAGAATGCCAAGAAATCAGCCACTTTCCTTATTGTTTTTTATTACGTAAGACTCAAGCTTCCTTTTGCGGTTTCTTCTGATCGGGGTTGCTTAATGACCGTGCCTGAGGCAAGACGCATTAAATTAAGTTTTGTTACGGGAGGGCAGACGAATTAAAGTGGGTAGAATTATGTCTACTCTTTACATACATTGGTAAATTCAATAAAAATTGCCCTTCGAGACGAATTTCATGTAATAATGTTCCCTCGGGAAGGTGGCTCCCGCTCTCGCGTGCTTGTAAGTCTATCGAAGTTTATACCCTGCTGAGACGGACAAATTGACCTAATTCCAAATCTCATTCCGGGATATCACAATGACATGGAATATTTTTCTAAAGCTGCAGTTTTGCAAACGCACACGTCATATGAATCCATTTTCGGTGGGGTGCAAATCAAACAATATAAGCAACAATAAAAGTTTTCCTTATGTTTGTCAGCTCTCTTTTCTAAATGTCACGGAAACTGAAATTCAGACTAGTCAGTAAATTTAGCCAGCTTGTATTAAAATGTACTATACTAAGGTCAGAGTATTTGGGTAGCTAGCGAGCTGAAATTAAAATGACAAATGAATTAAAAAATGAAACTTGACAAAGCTGCTACTTCCACAATATTAGAAAATATCATGATCTATTAACAAAAATGTTTACGGTTCGTATCTCTGATTTAGACTTAGACATTCTTCTTTTTGCAGAATGATAGCTGCGCATGTTGAATTTACGATTGTAAAAGTGTAATCCTTTCATAGTACTCAACTCTGTCTTAGTGCAGTGAACCAAGGTTCCTATGGT